TGAGGTGGAAGGTTTATTTGCAAGGAATGTTCCATGTAAGTCTGCTTATTAAAACAATTCCTTCACAGGATTTGATCCAACTTTAACTGATTCTAAAACTCTTAGATTATGAATTAAGAAAATTGTTTTTGGGTTTATGGAAAATGTTTTTTTTTTGTTTTTTTTTTGACAAACATAATAATGTCTACACAACTGAAAGTAGGTGAGGTGGAAGGTTTATTTGACCTTAAAGGTGCCAAGTGGGCTGACCAAAGTAGATCGCTCTAGATAAAGGAAGGTTATGTGGCATTTTTAGAAGATGAACAGTGCATAGTTGTTATGATATCCTATACCAAAAGTTATTGAGAAAAACATTTCCATCAGATAACACCTTCAGTGAGAAACCCCCTGCTTGCATGCTGCTATTTTTAAGGTCCAGTGCATTCACAGGCAGTATTATTGATTCATTGACAGACATTTTCATGCCAGTGTGTAATGTCTTATCCAGTAGTGTTATGTATACTAAATGAGACCAAAAACAAGATATTTACATCAGCAATAGACAGATGCAATAATATTATTATTTAGATTTAATTTATTTATAGTTTCAGTTTTATTTTTATTTATTTTTTCCAGGTAATAATTTTTATGCTTTAATTTAAACTGATTTAATTTAACATTTCTAATTTTTTTAACTTTGTGTGTGTGTGTGTATATATATATACCGGTATATATATATATATATATATATATATATATGCTTTGTACATATACATACATATATAAATATATTAAAATCTGATTTCAGAGAATCTATTCGAGTATTTTTTGTTCAATTTCCATTTTTTTTATTTTGTATTTTTTTTAATGCATAATCCTTGCTAAATTTTAGAAGGTGTTTACTTAAACCAAGTGCAAAAAAAAAAGAAAAAAGAAGATATTCTCTGAAAACACATCTTGTTTTAAGGATGTTTAGATATTTTTACAGGAAAAGTAGCCTGAGATACTGATTCAGAATAGGAGGATTTGCACTGCAAATTAAAATTTCAGTAGACCTGCTAGTTTGGCCTTCACTGTGTCCTCGGACCTTGTGGCCTAGTGCCATGTGAACCTCATAGATCAAATGTTCCCAAGCTCTCCATGACAGATTTATTGAGCAATTTACAGTATAGAGAGCCATAAAAGCAGCAAATGTGTTCAAACAGAAGACCTCTAGCTCAATTAAGAGGATTTACATTAGTCATCACAGTACACATTAACTACAGACAGTAAAATTCATTAAGTGCAACAATAACAGCATGAAAGACGTGTATATTTACAACTACGTCTTTATATATCTTCCTTAATGTGCAACGATACGCCTGCTCTCCCTGAATCGCATTAGCATGAAAGCCTGCGGACATGGCTGTTCCTGTCTGAAGCTGTGTGTGTGTGTACGTCCTTGACTGTAGGTCATGTTTCATGCCGCACTGCTGTGTACATGCCAGGATGCTCTTTGGGATTTACTGCAGTACAGATTAGCTGCTTGGTGGCGTGTGTTTTAGTGAGAGATTTACGCTGTTATTCACTCTGATTTCTATCAGCAGACAGTGTTCTTATGTAATGCAGCGATTCCTGGGATCTTGCATCTGACGCCTTGTCATGAAGGCGGTGTGTGTCATGGTGACGTCATTAACATAATCCTGTTCCTCGTCTCTCACTGTGAACTTTGATGTCAATGTGCGATGCCGCACCGGCAGGTAAATCAATGATAATGTAAATGAGATTGAATTATGATGCCATAGAGCTTGTGAGGCGAAGAGTCCCCTGACTCCCACTGATTTTAGTCGCACACAGCTGACAAAACAGCCCTGACTGTGCTAATATACATGTCCGATATGGTGGATAAAGCATTGAGGATGGCGTGGCATATTAGGTTTTACTAATGGCTTTATGATCCACTTGATCATCATTAAAGGTGCTGTAAGCAGTCCGCTTTCCTAAATTCTCCAAATTCCGGGCCTTCAAAAAATATGTGAGCAAAGTAGTTCTTTTATTGTTTAGTTATTTTAGTATTATTTTTATTTTAGTATTTAGTTGTTTTAGTATTATTTATATGTTATTATATTTTTAATATTATATTAGTAATTTTTATATATAGTAGTTTCTATTTGTAATGTATTATTATTTTTTAATTTATATTAGTAATTTGTTAGTAATTCTCTTATGTGCGTTTGCCTTTTTTGTTATTTTTAAATATTACTATTTAAGTTTAGTTTTTATTCATTTCCAAGTTGTAATTTTAGTGCTTCAACTTAGATTTCAGATAGTTGACAAGTTAGCATTTCTAATTTTCGTTTAGTTTAATTTTTCATATATTTATATTCATACAACTGTATTTCATTTAATAAAAATGTTTTTAATTGTTTTAGTTTTAAAGATAATAACTGCAGCAAATCTGATGTACATTGCACATATGTAACCTGATGTCGCAGATCATGTAAAATGATTTGTGATTGGTTAGAAATGTGTAGGATGCTCTTCTGGCTCCTTTTCTGCTGTTTACATAGCCTAGGGCTGTCATACAGAGACTTGTTATTGATATCTGACCCTAAATATATTTTATTGTGATATTCCCCACATAAATCACTTACAGCACCTATAAACGTAGCGATAACTCAGCATAGCTGCTAATCATTAGCTAATCAGATTTTTTAAAAAAGGTCAATGTCTTAGACTCTACTAGAAGCACAATCAAGGTTTGACGCAGTTGTTTTACGGGAGTGATGGTTTTATTCAAGTTGTAGCCTCTATCAATGCAAGTGGCTATTCATCTATCTATAAGCTGGTGCTTTATATTTTACAGATATTTTACATATGTCACAGTCAAAAAATTGCATTTGAATGACAATGAATTCGCATTTCTTGTTTACAGCTGCGAGATAATGTCAATGATTATCACTGTCATCGTGGATTGCATTCAGGAGTGATAATTTAGGAAATCCTCTGCCATATTTATATGCTTTTGTCACTCCCTAAACTTTGAAGTGTGGCTGTGTAGGTAATTTCATTTAATTTGTGTCGTTTGTGCCAAATACCCAAATGCAAAATAGCAGCGATATGCACACAGATTCTCAACTTTTGGGCCAATTAATGTCTAACTGTACTGATGCTATTGGATGAGAACACAAAATCTTGAACTGAATTGACCCTTCACAGGGAGTTTGATTGACAGGTGGTTGACTTTCTGCGGTTGAAACAAGAGACCTTCTGATGTTCATTCATGTTTATTTCATGCTATAACTAATAAAGAGGAAGAGATGATTGGTTCACATGCCACTTGAACTGAGGCGTTACAGCGATCTGTCATGACACATTAAAGAGCCACAAAACAGTATTTATTGTTTGAATTTCTTAAAGAATTGCAAAATTTGAAAGCTGTCCTCTTTGCTCCACAATGTATTTTTCACTGCGTGCGAACATGATGTGTGGCATGATACGCCATGGCTTGTTGACGTAGCAACAATAACTAAGGGGGGCACTGCCTAGCACCTTTAATTGCTGAAATTATGTCATGTTACCATATTAAAACAATTATAGGGCATTAGTAAATCATCACAAAAACACAACATAGTATAAGCATAAAATATCTTTACTTAAAATATCCTCTTTGAAAATAGCAGAACAGAGTATGGCTGAACAATATTGCTTAACAAAGCCCTCAAACTCAAGTACATTCAATAACACGTTACACAACATATTTCAAACCTGTTGTCTTTACAAACACATAACGTAAGACATGAGCCCTGGTCCCAGTGCTTCAGATGAGCCGATGGTGACCTCCTTGCTTAACCTGCAAGATTTGTCTATTGGCATGTTGGCTTATATTAAGACTCACTGTGTTGCTTGTGCATCGCTTTGCAATAGAGCTGAAGAGGCGAATTACTCGGAAGTCCAAGATTAAAGCATAACAAAACTAAACAAAAAAACGGCACATTAAGGAATTACATAGGGGTTTCATCATGCAATTATTGCTACTGTTTTTAAACTGAAATCTTGTGCATATCAATTGCAATAAATGACATCTTTCAGAAACACACATGGGAAAATGCTACTACAATCTGAGGACTACAATCGTGACTTCCCTGCGTTCACTTCCTTGTTGGCTTCACGAGAGAGAGCGGGAAGTTGCCGCTTGGTGCCAACATGGACGTTTTGCCACGTGTGTTCATTGCATAGGGGATTTTCTAGATCTTGCAGCCTGATAGCAGTGTGCATTGGGTTTCATTAAGCTTCAGCACTGCTGAGACAGCCAGAGATTACAGCCTGGCAGGGAAGGACAGCAGCACAGATGGCATCTGTTCGGGAATCTGCTGATCTGCCGTACCTTTGCGTTTTAATCTGAGATGCTGGTCTAGTCTCTAGAGCAGAGGTGCCCAAACTTTAATACAAAGGACCAGAAATCAAACTTCATTGAGGGATGTTGGCCAAAAGTAAAGGTTGTATTATATACAACTACACAGAAAAAAAATTTGGTGTAGAAACTATTTTCGTACAGATATTGCTAGTGAATTTCACAAATAATTACAAAAAATGTCAACAATTTTAAATTTTTAAGTAGAAAGAATGAAATAGTATTTTCTGGTAAAATGTATTACAATAATGTTTATTTTGTTTTATTTAATGTTGTTTTATTTAATTATATTTTTAATAATTTATTTAATTAATATAATCAATAATTTGTTTTATTTTATACCATTTTTACAGTGTATATTATATTATAATGCATTAAATAATTTAAATAATTAAACAAAAAAAATTGATTTTTTAACAATTTTTACATTTTTTTTTATCAAATTCACTTGATTGTTTTTTACATTTCATTGCAAAAAAAAAAAAAAGTTAAAACAAAATTAGAAATTAAGATATTTTTTAAATCAAATTCACTTGATTGTTTTTTACATCTCAGTGCAAAAAAAAAAAAAGTTAAAACAAAATTAGAAATTAAGATATTCTTCAATGGCATGTTTTTTAAAAAAATTTTTTTTACTTTTTTCCCCCCTTTTCTTGTGATATGAAATCCTGTGGCTGAAACAGAAGAATATGGCACTAGCAATGCCAAGGTCATGGGCTCGATTCCCAAGGATTCCTTCATTTGAAAGATGCACGGACCTCACGACCTTTCAGAGGCTGAGGAGGGCGATAGTTGTTCACCATACAGCAGGCCGCCTCATCCTCTGCAGTAAAAAGCAGAGATCGGAATTTTTTCATCTGTGGAGGAAGAGATAGAAAGAGAAATACTGAGTTTTCAGCATCTGTTACTATTTATTTAATAGAACTGACACTGATCTGACTAACATTGAACTGACTTGGGCTGCATTGAACTGAATTGAGGCGCGATGCAACGCAACGCGTAAAAAGACAGTGTAAGTCATTATAATCAGTAATTATGTTCCCACTGGATGCAACAAATGCCTCGTTTGTAATGGGTTTTAATGTTTATGTCTCGTCGCTACGGCCGGACACGGCATCAACAGTATGGTGAGGGGCGTAACATTTCCGTCTCACGCTTGAGGTATTCGGCCAATCACAACGCACTGAATAGCTGGCAATCACAGCACACCTCGCTTTTTCAGAACGATGAGCTTTGTAAAAATCGACGTGTTTCAAAAAGGCTGGGCATAGAGGAGAAACAATAATGCACAGTATGTGGAAAATAATGTGTTTTTTTAACTTTAAACCGCATAAACACATTTCATTACACCAAATACACAAAATAATGTTCTTTTTAGCAGCATCATATGACCCCTTTAATAGAACTGACACTGATCTTACTAACATTGAACTGACTTGGGCTGCATTGAACTGAATTGAATCAACAATGAACTGACTCGAGCTGAATTGAACTGAACTGAATCAACAATGAACTGACTCGAGCTGAATTGAACTGAACTGAATCAACAATGAACTAACTCGAGCTGAATTGAACTGAATTGAATCAACAATGAACTGGCTCGAGCTGAATTGAACTGAACTGAATCAACAGTGAACTGACTCGAGCTGAATTGAACTGAACTGAATCAACAATGAACTGACTCGGGCTGAATTGAACTGAACTGCATCAACATTGAACTGACGCGGGTTGCATTGAACTGAACTGAATCAACAGTGAACTGACTTGAGCTGAATTGAACTGAACTGAATCAACAATGAACTGAATAGAACTGACACTGATCTGACTAACATTGAACTGACTTGGGCTGCATTGAACTGAATTGAATCAACAATGAACTGACTCGAGCTGAATTGAACTGAACTGAATCAACAATGAACTGACTCGAGCTGAATTGAACTGAACTGAATCAACATTGAACTGAAGCGGGTTGCATTGAACTGAACTGGATCAACACTGAATTGACTAAAGCTGAATTTCACTGAATTGAATGAACATTGAACTGACTGAATAATAACATTCTGTAGAGGTGCTTATCACTGAACTTAAACTTGTTTCACAGTTGAAGAACTCCACAGTAAATGAACTGAAATGAATCAACACTGAACTGACTTGAGCTGAATAATAACACTATTTCTTTTTAGTGCTGCTTTACAGCAGAATTTTAATGATTAATATTTTCCTCTTTATTACTGCAAAGCTGCTTTGAATCGATCTGTATGGTATAAAGCAATATATAATTAATGGTGATTTGACTAGACTATTTATGTATTGGGGAAATGCTTGTAGTTAAACAAACTCCAGGGACACGGGAAGTAGGGGTGCTGAGGGGGCTGCAGCACCCCCTGTTTTCACATGGTTGCAAATCCAGCGCCAAGTTTGTTCATTTGCATGTATTCAGT